ACTGAGCTATACCCTCCCCCCAGGAAATATGTTCTTGATATAAATGAGTCCATCATGTGCCCTATAAGGAAAAAAAAGGCATTTTCCTTAATTGTAAAAGTGATCTATCATCTATCTATCTATCTATCTATCTATCTATAAATAACACGTACAACTCACATCAGTGTAATTCTACAATTTCGAGATAATGGCTGGTGGTGGTTTTGGTCAAGAAATTTCCTTTCTTTTATGAATACATGTTATGTAAACTGAGATCATACTGTATGTAGTTTTATTTCTTAGCTTTTAAAAACTATTATCCACTGAACATTATTCTATGTCATTAAAAATTCTTGGAAGGCATGATTTTTAATTTGTTACATTTTCATTTTATTATAGGGACAAATTCCTAATTTCTTAACTTTCCTTATTATTGGAATTTTAAGTCATTTCCAGTTTCAATATTATATTTTGTGATGAACATCTTTGTTCATATAAATATATATACATACTTGCCCAAATCTCACATTTCCTTAGAAATAAAATTCAAGGGCCAAATGGATGAATATTTTAAAAGTTTTGATGATTTGGCCAAAGTGCTTACCAAAAAATGTCCAAAATTATACACACAATATACTTTTACCTGCACTAAACACTGAATCAAAAATAACAAAAAATGATCTGTGGGTTGCTAGGGAAAAAATTAACATTTTTGCTGAATAAATACAAATTAAAATTTCACTAAGCTTCATGAGAGTACTGAATACTTTTTTTCAGTCATCATCTGGCTTCTGCTTCTTATGCCTGAGGGAAATTGCTCTACCTAAGATCAGCATTGGCCTACTTAATTGCCACGTGAATAGCCTATTTTCGGGCCTCTTTCTTACCATTTTCCAATTTTTCTCTTTGTTATTTGACTGTTGAACACCCATATCTTTTCTTATTTTATTTACATTTCAAAATAGTGTTTATATTCACATAGTTTGAAATTCAAAGTCTTCCTCTTATTTGTCCCAAGCTATCTTAGTTCCTCTCCCTAAGAATCACCAATGTTTTCACTTTCTTATGTATGCTTTCAGAAATACTTGATCAAATAAAAGCAATTATGTATATTTTTATAAATATACTCATATATACATATATACATACACATGGGCACATACAAGTATAAAATACACACAGCCCCTATTTACACAAATGTTAACACATAATTAACTGCATCTCTTTTCCTTTAATATATCTTAGACATTACCGTAAGTACATAAAGAATTTCTTCATTAATTTCTATGGCTACGTAATATAGCAGAATTTATTTGATTAGTCCGTAGTTAATGGACATTTCAGTTGTTTCCAGTCTTTTGCCATTATAAACAATACTGCAATGAATCAGTTGTACATTCACAGTTCTAGAAGTAGGATTCCTAGGTCAATGCTTTTATAATTTTGATACCATCAAATTACTGCCTGCAGAGATTGTACTAATTTACCTTCCAACTAGTAACACATGAGAATGGCTTTCCTTTTCTTGTTCATTTGCTGGAGTGTTGTATCAGGGAAATTAGCCTTTTTCCTGTGATGAGTTCCATATATTCTTTTCTCAGATTGTCATTTGTCTTTTGATTGTTTATGGTGGTTGGTACCAGGTAATAAAACTTTATTTTCTATATGGTTGACTTTATCATTCTTTTTGTTAATGGCTCCTGGGTCTTGCATCAGAGTTGGAAAGCCATTCACTATTATAAGACTATAACATAATTTTCCCAAGTTCCTTTTAAGGTATGTTTTATAGTTTTTTACATGCAAAACTTTGATCAATTTGGAATTTCCTAATGTAAAGTGTGAGTTGTGTACTGACACTATTGAATAACACTCCTACTTGCTGAAACTGTCTATTCTTGACTTCTAGGAATTATTCTTTCTTGATTTTTTTTTAAATAATGATGACTCTACTCATTAATGACATCTACTCTCTTCAACTCATGTAATGTTAAATGCTGATGCAGAGAATTACAGTATCATAAGTACAAATATTTACCTGTTTATAGAGGCTAGCATGCCAGGACTGACATGCTGACACTGAGGAGTTTTTGCCAGTGGAAAGATAACCGATGACGGAGTTGCTGGATTTCTGTCCATGTCTGGCAGAATATCATCTTCCTCTTGACTGTCCTGGAAACTTGGCAGCTAGAAAACGACTATATATTACTAGCAGACAGACACCCCTAAAATGGGATTTCTCATTATCACAAATTGGTTTTGGGGGGGCAGATGATAAGCTGTTTTCCTTCTTATAATTTCCCAACTAGGTAACTAAAAATATTAGTAGGTAGAGCACAGAGCCTTGGCCTCTAAAAAACTTTGTTTCTGTGTAAAATGGAGATAATAACACACAATTGTGGTGTTGTGTAGACCAGGGGTCAGCAAATGTTTTCTGTATAGGATCAGATAGAAAATACTTTAGGTTTTGTGGTCCGTACAGTCTCTGTCCCAAACACTCAACTCTGCTTGTGAAGCATGAAAGCCGTCATAGCCAACATGCCTGTGTTGCGATAGAATATTGTTTACCAAAAAAGGTGAAATGCCAGATCTTTTTGCTGACCTCTGTGTAGACAGAACAAAACAAAACTGTAATTGATTTACTATTATGCTTCGTACTTAATAGATACTCAAGCAGTATTAAATTTTTGTGTGCATATTATTTCTAATAAACAATTCAATCCTTAAGTAAGATTTTACTTACCTTTATATTAAAGCCTTAGAAAAAGTAGACTTACACCACAGAAAATGAACTACTTCACTGCTTCCTATTTGTTTGATTATCTTTGCTTTTAAAATGCTGCTACTATTGCATTTAGGCCAAAACGTAAAGAACCTGAAATGATGGGGTATTAACATAAAGGGTGCAATGTCTAAAGGACCATGATTGTTCAGAGAATACAGTAAGAGCCTCAGATGGCTCCCTTAAAATACCTCCCTTTATAACCTGTGTAGGCAAAAAGGGAGCTGAGATAATGTTACTAAAGTCTTAAAGCACTGTGTAGCCTTTTAAAATTGGAGCTGATTTAACAACAGTGTGAAATGGTTAGATGAAAAAATTACCCTTAAGTCCAGCTCCTAAAACAATTGTTTTAACATGTACAGTTGTCTATATCCATCCATTTTTGCATTACTTTAATCTTAATATTCTTAACATTTATATTTAGATTCTAGAAAGTCTCAAATTTGCACTTAATATTTGTACTGTATTTCACTGTGTTTATGAAGTATATCCTTATTGGATTCATAGATTGCTTCTAGTTTTTTGCTGTGAGGATAAACCTACAATGAATATGTGTATTTTTTGTCTTTTGCAAAGATTTTTGGCTTCTTTTGAATTTCTTAGGATAAACTCTGAGTAGATTTAATCTTTATGGGTGTCATATTTCCACAATGCTTTCCAAATGGTTAAGATTCAGTTATGTACCCAGTGATATATGACTGTATCAACATCTCCATTGCTTTTTGATAGTGGATATTTCAACTTACTTTTTAAAAAGATTCTATAATTTAGAAGGTGTACATATAATTTACTTTGTTTTCCTTTGATTGCTAGCTAAAATCACCACTTCCCCAAGTGTTTGTTCAGCCTTTTGAATTTTTTCTTGCCCGCTATTTTTTTTTACTGTGATCTTAATGCTTTTTATTATTCCAGTAACACTTGAAATTGAGTTCATCATATTGTAAATATTGTCTTTTATTTGTCAGAAACAGTTTATCCCAATCACCTAAGTTTTTGGTTTCATGATTTTTCATTCTACAAAAATTATTTTATACATTCAAATCTGTCAG